AATGAGTTCCTGCTGTTGGGTGTGGCCTGTTATGCTAATGAGCTCCTGCTGGGCGTGGCCAACTCAGGAGCCAGCCGGAACTCCGTTCTTGTGCGTTCCTGCCCAAAAATAGCCCTGTATGTGTACCACTAATGGACTTGCACAATTCATGGACCTGTACATTGTATGATGTAAATTTATTTTACTGATATATGTGGTCCTCTGTTATTCTTATATAAACTACCTCTGTGTTGCATGACTTTTGAGCAATTGTGATCTGCGTTATCTACACAATGCTTGCTTGCTTTCTGTGAATTAGTACACTGTGATATCACATTGGTTTATGGTATTCTTTGGAGGTTTCCCATCCAAGCTCGTAGGTCTCCCATCCAACTACTAACCGGGGCTGACTCTGCTTAGCTTCTGAGATCTGACGAGAGGTCCGCCCACTCCTCCCTGATCAGTCTCCTGTTCCCTCCCTTGCACTAGTTGCTCGAGGGCAGCATAAGAGCCCTGGGGGGGCCGGTTCCGGCCCCCAGGCCTTATGGCTGCCAGGTCAAGGCATTGGGGCAGAATTCTGCCAAATCCTGAGTATATTTTGCCTGTCTCTATCTTCCTAGAAGCACCTGGTTGGAATATGTTATGCCCTTCTTATGTTCTTATGGCAGGAGTGTAGCATTGAGCCTAGCATCCCGGGCAAAGCCCTTTCTTTGCTGAACGGGTATGTCCTTTTCGGATCGGAAAATGTCCATTATCTTTCGGAAGAATCACAGTTACGAATATGGATTTCTAAACCTGGATATGGAAAGAACTTCGGGGATCTGATTTTATCTCCAGGGCCAGAAAAGTTCTGGAAAGTCTCACAGAGGGTATGGATTCCGTCTTATCTTTTAGAAACCGTGTAATTGTCTGTTAAAAGCTGATAAAACGGAAGACTCTCTTTACAAAATAAGAACAGCATCCTTGATTCTTCTGTGATCACCTTTTGCTAGTTCTGTCGGGTTTGGGAATGGGGGGAGAAGATTGGCTACAGGTTATCTCCGGTGCCCAGACATCCGGTAGATTTTTCCTAGGAAGTGAGCCCTGCGCATAAAAGATATTTGGGCGAGGGGGAGAATACCCGAACCTTGTCCCAAATAAAAGTCTAACAAGATCCTTCATTTCTCAAAAGCTGTTCATTTCGGTTTGGTCAGCGGCAGTTTCCAGTCTCGGGATGAAAAATGCCACTCTGTCCAGGAGGGTCACGGCTTTCCTTTTAAAGGAAACAGCCCGAGTAAATCGAGAAGGACGCCTCCGCTCTCTTTGGTGATTTGTGTGAAAGAGAAATGGAGCAAGGACAGACAATTTATACCTCTTTCCTCAAAGTGACATTTTTACTTTAACTGTTGTGGCCCATTTGTCTTCCTTAGCAGTCTGGCTTACACAGAGCTTTTTTTAAAAAAATCGGACCCGGATTGTCACCTAGATTGGTGTGAGACACGGGGTAAAAAGTATTTGGTATTTGTTGAAGTAATGAAGTCATATCTCTTTCCTCTTGGCTGTTAGACATATCTGTTCAACAATTTTAAGTTGGAGTAAGTTAGGAGTAAGTTAGGAGTACGTTAGGAGTAAGTTAGGAGTAAGTTAGGAGTAAGTTAGGTGTGACTAAGGTGTGACTAAGGTGTGACTAAGGTGTAACTAAAGTGTGACCACCATCTTGGGACACAGATGGGACAAGTTGCTCAAAGAGACAGAATTCCAGAGCCATTGAAGAGGCTTTCACCTCTCCCATTAAGTTGGAAGCAGGTCTTCCAACATCCTGTCCTAAAAAGAACACATAAAGAAGAGACTGGATTTATACACTGCCCTTCACTACCCGAAGGAGTCTCAGAGTGGCTTACAATCTCTTTTCCCTTCCCCTCCCCACAACAGACACTCTGTGAGGTCAGTGGGACTGAGAAACCTCAAAACTGCTTGTGAGAGAACAGCTCAGAGAGAACTTGTGACTGATCCAAGGTCACACCAGCAGCTGCATGCGGAGGCGTGGGGAATCCGTGCCCCTAACAACTGCACCAAATGAGGCAAGTGTGAGGGAGTGGTTAGAATGCTGACCTAAGAACAGAAAGTATACAACAGGATAAACTGGAGAAAGGGAACCTACTGTCCTAAACCCCTTGACCAAGGGGAAGGGATTAAAAAGGTACCAGATGGTTTGCCTCAACCTGGATAGCCCAGGTAAACCCAATCTTGACAATTCTCAGAAGCTAAGTAGAGTCATCCCTCGTCAGTATTTAGTTGGGGGACCTCCAAGGAAGTCCAGGGTTGCTAGTCAGAGGCAGGCAATGGTAAACCACCTCTGAACTTCTCTTGCCTTGAAAACTCTGTAGCAGGGGTGTCAAACTCATTTGTTACGAGGGCCGGATCTGACATAAATGAGACCTTGCTGGGCCGGGCCGGGTGTGTCATAAAATGTAGTGCCGGGGAGCGGAGATATAAACTTTATAAAGGACACAAACACAAAGAATATTTTTTACTTAAAATAAAAACATGCTTAAAACATTAGCTCTGTAAGCTGCAAACCTACTTTTGATTTATCGACATTCACCACAGAGATCTCATGCTCAGAGTTTTGCGTCTAGGACCCAGGTTCAAACATGAAATGGCTGAGCGAGTGAGAGAGTCTGGTGAAGCAAGCTATGATGCAGCAGCAGAACTGGAAGCAGGAGATGGCCAGTTCCCCTGCAGGCCTGATGGAAGCCCTCCGGGGGCCTGATCCAGCCCCCGGGACGCATGTTTGACACCTCTGCTCTATAGGGTCTTCATAAGTCAGCTGCAACTTGACGGCAAAGAAAAAAAATAGTTTGACTCTGTTAGACCAGCACTGGCTACTCTGACTGGTCGCAGGCAAAGAAAGGTCTTTCCTAAAACATGTTTGTCTTGCCTGGAAATGTCAAGGATAGACTCTGGGATCTTCTTCAGGCAAAGCAGGTGATCTGACCCTGCCCTTCTACAATTCCATCCCCTCCCCCCTTTTTGTAATTCACAAAGTGATTTTAAAGTGTAAGTCCTGCAGCCATCAGCTATGTGGCAGCCGGTAGAAATCAGTGTTCCCTCTAAGCTGAGTTAGTGTGAGCCAGCTCACAGTTGTTTAGCCTCCGGCTCACACATTTTTGTCTTTGCTCAGGAAGGGTGGCTCCGCAGTGTTCCCTCTAAGCGTGTGAGCTAGCTCACAGTCTTTTAGCCTCCAGCTCTCACATTTTTGTCTTCGCTCAGGAAGGGACGGCTCCAGAGCAAACCAATGTATGCAGTGGCCAAATCACTGGCTCACAACTTTAGTGCCGGTAGCTCACAAAGTAGAATTTTTGCTCACAAGACTCCACAGCTTAGAGGGAGCCCTGTGAGCAGGTGGTTTGGCTTCTGCATAAATCCATTTGCTCTGGAGCCCTCCTTCCTGAGCTTCCTGAGCTAAGACAAAGATGTGTGAGCCGGAGGCTAAAAAAACGTGAGCTGACTCACACCAACTCAGCTTAGAGGGAACACTGGCAGTGACTCATGAAAGCTCCTCCACTGCCACAAATTGTGTCAGTCTTTAAGGTGCTGCTGGACTCTTGCCCCTTTCTAGTGCTGCAGACTGACACGGCTGCTACCCATCTTGACCTACATCCTGAGATGGCTGCGTGGATCTGCTTTCAGACTGCAGAGCAGACCGAAATTGAGTCCAAATGTTGCATTTGAACAACTTCGACGTGCAACGATTTGCTCTCTTTCCTCTGTGGTATCGACTAGTGTCAGAACGTAGACTGTAAATGTCTTGGGGCAGGGACCTACGTTACTGCCTCCTGCCGATTCAGACCGAGGACCACATTAAACCATCTGCGATCGGATCGCCTGGCGCGTTACATTTCTGGTGGGAAAAGTAAAGTGGCAAATGAAAGGTGGGATCAGGACCATGCCGCTGGGCAATGGGGGGGGGAGGCATAAACTTTCCCCCCAGCACGTACACGGTTCTCCCAAAGTGGGTCATTCCCCAGGAACTATTTACTCCAGCAGGGCAAAAAAGCACCTTCTCCCTTCATGTTTTTCCTATTGGAACAAACAGCCCTTTTGGGGGACCAATTCAGATCAGGAAAAAGAGTCAGCCCACTCACCACTATGGTCCTGATTCATATTGGGGGGTTTTCCTTAACCGCCACTTGCAGAAGTTTAAAAAGACAGGAGGTCTAACCACCAGTCTCCAGAGCTGCATCTAGTTCTGCCCTTTGTGAGCACCCAACAGGCCTCAGTTTTTCCCCTGGCTGTTCTAGTAACTGGAAATTCAAAGGACTGAGCCCAGGGCTTGCGATAAGCAAAATAGAACAGCTGCACAATTCATTTCCAAGCACGAAAGAACACATCCCAAACAATTTTTTTTTTTTTTAGTATTTAGGGGAGAGAGAAGACACACAAAAACAATTATCACTCAAGGTACCACTGGATTCCCCCCCCCCCTTAAATTTCAAAACCAAGCAAAAGACAAAATGCACAGCAAACAAGAACAATGAACATTATTCCAAGGTTCCACAATAATCCCAAGGCCCTGAAAACCCATCAGATGGAAAGAGAGGCCCCATTTAGTCCCGTGACAGTTTCAATTTTTTTTTTAGAAAAAATGAGTTTCAAGATACCCTTCCATGTTCCAGACAAAATATTTTTTCATGCCTGCCGCATGCTCCCCCCAGCCCCCATACCACCCTCCAGAACCTGTTCAATAAAATCATCATCCCTTACTTGGTTTAAAAAAAATAAAAATAAAATAGATATATAATAGAGACATAAAAATGGTACATAACTTGGCAGGCATAGTGAAAAAGGGGGGAGAAGCTCTCTCAAAAACCCTCTTCTGTACAGACAGACAAGACTTTGGGCGGGGCTGCCCAGTCCCACTCCCTCCAGAAAGCTTTCCATCTTGGGCTGAGGAAATTCAAAAACACAACATGACAGGGAGGGAGAAAGAAAAAAGAAAATAAAGAAGTTAGTGCAGTTTTGAGATTCAAGCCACTTACCAGCCTTCTCTTGGGCTTTATCAGAGGGCGGTTCTGCCCGTTCATTTTATGATACAGTCCACAGGCGTTACAGAGATAATGCCCCGTGCCATCTCTCCTCCATAGTGGGGTTGAGGTAGCGCCACAGTTTACACACTCCCTGCCTTCTGGAAACAAGAGGGGACACAGTTCATTGAGAGACAGCAAGGGGAGAAAAAAGGGAGTTGAAAGAGGTCTCAACATTCCCTCCATCTAGTTCAACATTCCTTCCATCTAGTTCAACATTCCCTCTGTCTAGCTCAACATTCCCTCCCAGAGGGCCAAAAAAGCCAGCAGTGTTTTGGTGTGAAATAAAGAGTGGGGCAGTTCAAAGTCACAATTAATTAAATAAACAGAACCTGCCTCTTTTTAACTTTTGGTAGGCCAAATAACTACTGGTCTGGAATGGCGGTAGGACTTTTTTAATTCACACTTATCTCTAAGCTCACCCAGGCATGACAACAACACAAAACCACAATACAATAAGAGCAGCAAGGTGAAACAGCCATTGCAAAACTATACATTCTAAAAAACATTATTATTTTTCTCTCTGTGGTCAAAAAGAAATTATACAGATTAAATCCACACCAGAAAATGTACGCCTCTTTCTCCATGATGCATTTTCCAGGCAACATTTTAATTGTAATGAAACGCTTCTTTAGGAGAGAAATAGAATAAAATTCTCAGAAGGAACCCAAGAGTTTAAAGTGTTTTTATTCTCAGTGTTGAGAGTATTTTGAAAAGGGGTTGTCACTTGGAGTCCAGATACTCTCCCCCACTTTTGAATCTGGGAAACTGGTTGTGCACTTTTGGGGATTCTTTCAGGGGCAATTTTGCCCATAGACAACTGAACTAAAGAAAAGATCTGTGTATGCTAGGAACCTTGCTACGTGTATTGTTTTGCTCCTTTCTTTTTTTTATGCACATCCGTTCATGTCATCTATTTTCTTGGGCAAATTTCCCACTTTTTTTTTTTAAGACTAGATACAGGTTCATTTAGGAATTAACATACTTGACAGGAAAGAGGAGAAACGGAGAACATAAGAACATAAGAGACGCCAATGTTGGATCAGGCCAATGGCCCATCCAGTCCAACACTCTGTCACACAGCGGCCCAAAATACCAGGTGCCATCAGGAGGTCCACCAGTAGGGCCAGGACACTGGAAGCCCTCCCACTGTTGCCCCCCCCTCAAGCACCAAGAATACAGAGATAGGTCCCTAAGTACATCTCTAGCTGAGAGAGAGAGTAAAACTGAGTGTGGCACTTCTGAGAAGAAGGGGGAAAATGCCCTGAGATTAGCAATCTGGAGACAAACCAGGAATGACACTTGACCGGAGAGAAGGTGCTGACCTCACTATCCTATCTAATTGTCTTCTTACTGCCCCCTCCAGGGTCTTCTCTTCTTCTTTATACACCAGGCATTTTCTTTTCCAACAACTCCAGTGTCAGTTGCCACCAGCAAGGGGCTACCAAAACTTGGGAGCTAAGTCCAATTTCTCTAGGCTATCGCTAGTTTCTTCCTCTGCCTTCCTCTTGCAAAAACAAGCAAACTGGACATCAAAGAAGCCAGGCTGTCAACTTCAGCTTGAAAAATATAGCCATTCTGTAGGATAAGAGCCCAGAAAATCTTATCCAGCTCTCCTTCTGCTGTTAATCTCCATTTCTTCATCTCTGCCCTTACTGAGCTAAAGCCATCGAATCCCCGGGGATTACATAAATTCCACTGTAATCAGTGGAGTTTACTTGCTCAGAAAGATTTCATGGTTTCAGATTATCTGGGGGATTTAAGTGTCATACATTTATAGAGGTAAGAACATATGAAGAGCCCTGCTGGATCAGACCAATGGTCCATCTAGTCTAGCATCCTGTCTTACAGAGTGGCCGATTAGTTCCTCTGGACATAGAGACTGAGGCCTTCCCCTGATGTTGCCTCCTGGCTCTGAGATTCAGAAGCTTAGTGCCTCTAAATGTGGAGGTTCCTTTCAGTCACCATGGCTAGTAGCCATTGATAGACTTATCCTCCATGAATCTATCTAATCCCCTTTTAAAGCTGTTTCTTCTGGTGGCTATCACTTCATCCTCTGACAGCAAATTCCACATTTTAATCACTCTATGGCCCCGTTCACACAAGGCGTTTTGGGCCGGGAGTGGGCCAGATTGGAGACGGAGCAAACAGGCGCGATCCCACGCCAACATCTGGCTTGAGGTGTGGTGACCAGAACTGTACACGGTACTCCAAATGAGGTCACACCATTGATTTATACATAAATCCTTGCCTGCCCTGGAGAGTTAGGATGGGTAGCAATATAATCTGAAACATAATTTTTAAAAATCACCTCTATATTTGCTTAACTCTGATAATCATATCTGCCCTGAGAGTTGAGTGTCAGTTTCTTAAAGCTGCTCAAGCTAGGGCTTTGGCTATTCTTCCGGAAACAGTGTCACATGACTGTAAGCAAGCTAACGCTAAAGAATCTCTACTTGCCCTGTGCACAAAGGGTGCCATTTTCCTAGCTGTTAATGGGCAGGGTTGGTCAAGGGACCCAATTATCTCACCCAACCTGGTCTGTCCTTAAACAGGATACCTTGTGAGCCATAGCCTTGCCAAGATGGTGTACATGATAGCATTTGCAAATTGCTGTGAATGCTCTAAAGTCATACAGACTCACACACACACAAAGGACCAGTCGAGGTGCTATTAGTCGTAATTGTATTTCCACATATTCAGCCCGCTCGGCCTGACCTCTCCCTTCCTCTGCTGTGTTTCTCACTGTTGAAAATTTAGATTGTAACCTCCTCGGGACAGGGATCTGACTTTTTTGTTTGTTTGCTTGCCTGGCTTATGTCAGCCGGTGACGTATCCCATTAATGGAAAATACTGGAATACTTTGGTCGCCATTGACATCATTAGGTGTTGGGTGTTACAAGATAAAAACACTCAGTATATATTGGGTTAAATGTCTGTTTTGTTGTTACGGGAAATCACATGCTTTTGTGTAAGCCAATGTTAGTTTAGGTCTGCCAGCCCGGGAAAATTCTTCCTGATCTCGGAGTTTGATTGGAAGCAAAGTGTTTTTGCATTTTATGGCTCCTCTTCCCGTCTTTGTTCTGTTTCAACAAGAAGTGTGTAAGAGTAGCCATTGCAAGCTCTTCTAGTCTCGTCCTTTGTAGAGTAAGGATGTAACTGTTTAGCTGTGTTGTTATTTTCTTCCCAGTTACCTTTCCCTGTGCTAGAATGTAGTAAAACCTTTATATTTTAAACACACATGGACTCTGAGTCTGATTATTGTACTCTGGCATTGCTAAGCTGTTTTCCTTTGCTGAATTACAATTTTTATAAAAACTCCAACATTAGGACACCTCTGACAGCTGTCCGCTGCGTGCTTCTGAGTTTCTCCCGCAGCAGATCCCAACACCGATCTTTGATTCGCTTTTAGAAATGTGCTGTCCCCTCCCCAGGCCTGCCAACCTCCATGTAAAAGCCAAAAATGAAAGCTCACGGGAAGAAGTGGCATTCCAAAAACAACATCTGTGACAAGATTAACGAAGAGTCAATAAAGATAAGTTGCAAAAAGGTTTACTGTAGTGATTCTGTAGAAATCTTTCTTCTATTATCGCTCACGCGTTAACGAATGCTGCGCAATGAAAACAATTCGTTTCACAATATTTGCTTTATCCGAGCATGTAGCAATCCCAGTTCTTATCAATTACTACTTATCAACTCTTGAAGGAAACATTCCATGTTGACTAATAACAGAACCCAAGAGTTGATCAATAGGAAGGGAAGGGGAGGGGAGG